CAGGAATGGTGAGAGTTTATTTTTTTTAGTATTATGTGGAAGACCTGTAATCCAATGCTATTCTTAATGAAAAATTTCTTCTGGCATGTTGTGTGAATTTGGAAATATCTTTAATGTTCTGTGTTCAAAACTCCCTGCATAAATATTTTTTGTTGAAGAGTTCAGTGCAGTGTATTCATTTCCCCAAAGCAGAATCACCATCCTCAACTTGACTCTGCACTTTTTAAAAAGCGTATCTGTCCGGACAGAAAATAGTAGTATTTTCTGTCCATAAAGTAATCGTAAAAAACCTAAATGTGCTGTGATAGCCACTGTAAAATGGTGTGTCTGCTCTTTTCTTCTTCTTCTTCTTTGACCCTAGTGGGCTTTATAATTCTCCCAGTGACCGAACTAGATCACCAAAGTTTCCTCATTCACGACGACACCCTTCAGGCGGAAGTGAAAATGACCCTGCACAGCCATTCCGAAGAAGGTGGGAGCTAACTCTAAATTTTCCATGGCTATTGTACAGGCTTCTTTAATTGTGATGTTGATGATTTACTTTTTCTTTCTACTCCCTTCCTAATGCAAATTTATGGTTTCTTTCTCTTTGGCTCTATTTTGGCTCTTTTTTTCTGTAGACTGACATCAGCTATGTTTGCTAACAAGGTGAATGAAAATGGAAATTTTCCAAGGCACCTAATTTGTGCATATGTAGACTTTTGGTAACCAGGGGAGTGCAACTTTAATAATACTGAAAGTGAATTAATAATGATAATGATAACTGTTACTGTTTCATAGGGAAAAACCTCCCCATTGTCTTCTTTTTCAAATATATAAGTTTGACATACTTATGCACTCTACATGGGGCTGCCCTTGAAAAGTATCCGGAATCTTCTGCTGGTGCAAAATGCAGTGGCACAAGCAGTTATGTGTGCTCCTAGGAGGACATGTGTTACAGCTCTGCTCGGTTTGAGCAGCACTGGCTACCAGTTTGCTTCCGGGTACAATACAGGTTGCTGGTTTTGACCTTTAAAGCTCTACATGGCATGGGGCCAGGTTATTTGAGGGACTGCTTCTCCCCAGTTATATTTACCTGTCCCATCACATCCAGCAGGAGAGGCATGTTGCAGGTCCCATCTGCTAAGGAGTTCCATCTGACATGACCTAGGAGATAAGCCTGTTCTGCCATGGCACCCACCCTTTGGAATATCATCCTCTCTGATATGAGGTTGGCCTCAACCCTTACGTCCTTCGGAAAGCCTTCAAAACATTTTTTCATCAGGCCTGGGGATCCCCAGGCAGCAGGGAGCCCACTGTTGGCTGTACCACACATAGCATTCTGATTTTAACCCTCTTGCAATCTTGTTCTTATTTAAGTTTAATTATTTAAATGATTTTATAATGTTTTAATTGTGGATTTTATCATCACCTTGTGTGAGATGGGCTGCCATATAAATTTGATTGATAAATAATAAATAATTCCATGTTTTATTTTTTGTCAGTGTCATACTGCCTTTCTCCTTTTTAGATCACGATCCCGTTGCAATACCAGCAGTGGTAGTGAATCAGAAAATTCTAATAGAGAACATCGGAAGAAGAGACACAGGTGATTAAAAAATTATGCACATATTTTGAACCAAATGCATATTGTATTTAATTTACAGATTATGGTGTAAATGCAAAACTGCTTCTATGAATGATATTTTCCTGGCTGGTTAATTTTCCTTTGAAAAAATAGGGAGACTGTATTTCTGCTCCTATATTAGAAGCAGTCCAGAATTATGAATAACTTAGAGTCTGAATGTTCCCCATGAGCATTATGATTATTTTCATCTTTGGAGAAAAATTTGCCTTTTCCCCAGAGTTTTCATTTAGAAACCCACGGACGAAAGCCGCTTGCAGCCTGGTCAGGCAAGGCAAAAGGATTAAATCTATCCAGGCTCCAACTGACTTCATTTATTAAAGAAGTAAACAAAAAGAATTCAGAAACGATCAATTGCTTTTTAAAACAATCAGCCAGAAACGTTTGTACATTTAATAAAACCTGAATCTTTAAAATATCTTACCAAGGCAGTTTTTAGGGAAGTAACCCCGTACACAGGCTGATTCTTTGCCTGCAGTTTAAAGACAAAATCCAGAGGCCACTTTTTTTGGTGGTGGGGAGGCAGGGAGAGGGTAATTCCTAACTAAGCAATTCAAACTGAGCAATCAATATCTTAGGTGACCTGATCAGGTGTTTTTGAAATGATTTTAACAATGGTTTTCATCAAGGGAAGTTGAATCGTTGGAAAAATCAATCTGAGAGATGTAGATTTGGTCTGGATGTGCCTGGCTAGCAAGATGGAATGAAGGTTGTTGGGTGTAGGTTTGTCACAACATGAAATTGTGTGTTGTTTTTCTGTTTGGATTTTTCTCTCCTTCTTTTCCATTCATTCAAATACACAGAGGGCAGTTAAAACACTGCTGTTCTGCAGAGCCTTTTGGGGATGAATGTTACTGTTATGTCCAAGTTATGAATGTCTTATCCAGTGAGTTTTTTGTTACCTTTTTTAAATTAATAACTGATCTCTGGTTTGATATGTATTGGTTGTAATTCTACTGGGGTTGGTTTATTACACTAGTTGTAAGCCACTTAAGAGTCTATGATTGAAGCAGCATATGCATTTTGTAAATAAATAGAATAAAATGTGCTGGTTCATTAATGAAGTACATTTATTTTACTTAAACCTCTAGCTTTTAGAATCAGTCATCTTACAATATTATGATATCTCACTTTTTCGTGAGATGGGCGGTATCTAAATTTGAAATATAATAAATAAATAAATAAATTGTTACTTTTAGCATTCAGTTTGTGAATAAATGCTCAATATCTCAAAATGGCATTAAAACAGAAGCAAGCATGTCAAGTAATATGCTTTATGTAAGTTACATCATGAAATAGAACTGGTGTGTGTCTTCGCGATTAAATTTCCAGAATATTAAGGTGTCCATCTAACCAACTTTTCCCAACCTGGCATTTATTTCACATCTGTTAAACTTCAACTCCAGTAATTTCTTACCACTCTTATCATTACGTTAATTTTTGCAAAGGTTACGACAAGAGAATGACATGGTTGATTCAGCTCCTCAGTGGGAAGCAGTGCTGAGGCGACAAAAGGGAAAAAACCAACCTGAACCCACCCATCGGCGCTCCAGGCACAGATCACGATCGTATGTTGAACTGCTAAACCTTTCAGACATCTAAGATAAGAAAAGTTTTCACTTACTTAATATAATTTTTACTTGTTAGCTAAATGCATAGGAGAGACTCCCTCTTGTGGTCAATTTGGACATTATAAATAAGCTTTTGAGAGTCAGATGCAGTTATTCTTCTATATTGCAATAAATCCTAAGGAAGAAGAATAACAAGGAAATTATGAAATGCATGTATTTAAAATGTTCTGAAGAACAAGCTTGTACAATTTCTATTCCATGAACTGAATACAGTAAAACCTTGATTTCACAGGCCTCCATTTAGCAGACTTCAGATACAAAGGATCAAATTTCTGCCTGGACATCCTTCTGAAATAACAACGTTCATTGCATCTAAAGTAGTCTGGACAAAGAAATTACATTTTTGTTGTTCGTGGGTTTTTAAAAATTTGTTTTATTTACATAATGATATCTCGGTGTAGAAAACATCATTTGCATAAACTTATGCCATCTTTATGCAAATTACATAATTTGTATCATTATGAAAATGAAGTAGGTTGCTGCAAATGATATAGTTTGCAATTTAATGGACATTTCAGTGTATCAGATACCTCTCCAATGATTTGTCAAATCAACAGTTCAGTATTAGCAATCCTGCATTTCTGCCTGCTAAATTTTTGTTCTTTTCCTCCTCCCAAAAAAAGTTTGAGTTCCTAATGTAGCAGTTGAATTACACAGAATAACATACAGCTGCTTTAAGTTAAAAAGAAAGCTCACAACAGATTGCAGCTAGTAAAGAGGGAAAGCTATGGTTGGTTATACAGTGGTACCTCGGGATACGAACTTAATCCGTTCCGTGACTCTGGTTGCA